GTGATTAAAGTTATTCCTCATTCACAGGGCCGGCCAAGAGGGTGTGCTGGCCCGCCCTCCGGCACAGGGCCTCAGAATATTTGGGGCCTCTACTTAGATTCGTTAGTTACCGATCGTGTATTGTAGGTTGTATTTTCAGTGTATGATTGATTGATTATGAGTATGATGATGTGTTTAATAGATAATTTTAGCTATAATAACAATTGAAAATGATCTCATGGAGAATACGAAAATCTGAAAAATAATAGATAATTTTAATTTAAACAATATAGAAAGATATTACATTTTAAATAATGTTATTATAATCATTTTAGTTTTATTATAGTTAAAGGTCGATTTGGACCACGTCTAGATTTTGAAATAGGGCCTCCACGATCTAGTAGACAACCCTGCACCCACCTCTCGATCAATTTAGACTATTTTCATTTCTCCATTCAAATTTTTGCGCTATATCCATTTTCTCTTCCTTCCAGACTTACTTTCCTCCCTACTAGGGCTGGGAATTCGGTCTTGATTTCTTGGTCAAACTAGAAACGAGATCGTTTATTCCTGATGTAATCTTTTTCTGAACTTAAGTATTTTTTACAATTATTTACTAATTTTTAATTTTGATAAATTTATAGGGGAAAAAATTAGGGCCACATTTTAAATTTTCGAACAGGACCTCCAAATATCATGGGACGGCCCTGCTCATTCACTCCAACATATGTGAATACCGCATAGCCATCGTGACAAAGGAGGTGATCGTGCTTTTAGGTCATGAAACACCCAAATGAGTAAAGCACATCAAGAACACTAGCAAGGAGGTGAGTTTGAGTACTTGTCCGATCCGGGGAAGCCCATACTAGCTAGCTGGTGACACTAACCCGTCACCTATTAGACGCCATGATTGCTTTTGATGGGCAATAATGACCTATAATCTATTGCATGTGTAGGGGATCCGGTGATCGGAATCGGAATTTTTATGTATGGGAACGGAAGACCGCGAAATTCCTGCTCGAGGCCGCTGACACGATCACACTGCCCTATTTGGCACCTGCAGCTTGAGTAATTTGGGGTGCATATGGGGATTCATTGGGACTAACAAACAATAATCAGTCCCCTAATCGCAGCCGAAAGGCAGTTACGTTATTATTAAACCACAACCCACGAGGAGAAGGAAACATCCTCCTCTCCTTCTTTCCTGATCTCCTTACTAATTTCCATGTGGGTGCATAATTAGAAATGACAATTTTGTCTATATCCATTGGTATTTTACTATTCAATTCAATTGTGTTGAGTGAAATCCAAATAGATGGTTGATGGTTAGAGTTTGATGGGTTTGTACCCATACCCATTCAGGGGAGACGCAAAGGTCTTTGGGGGTGTCCCGGGACACTCCTAAATTTTGGAAAAGCAATTATCCAACCTGGGGTGGTAATTTGCGCATGGATAAAAAAAATTATAATTAATAGTCTGGGATACCCTGAAATTTGGAAAAATGATTATACTACTCTCGTTTGTGGTATGCGTATGGGAATATAAGTGGTAGTTTGGGTAATTCAAACCCGTGACACTACTATTATTAATGAATATAATTTTCATTCGGCTACAACTTTTTTGTTGTTCTATTCTAAACACTGTGTAATAGCAAAACCTTATTCTCTGTTTTTAATTATTTTTAAAATCTAAAAATTAATCTAATTACTAGCTACCCTTAATTTGTAATGATTTTATGGTCGTACAACAAGTGTATTTTTAGCTTTGGGTTACATCAAGAACATATTTAGAAGTAGAATATGCGTCAGTTCGTGTAATTGTCTAGTAGGATATACCGCAACAAATTTGTTGAGTAGTGTAGACGCCAAGTGTATTTCACAATTTTTTTTTTCGTAATATGAAAATACATCATGGACTTATTTTAACTTGTATGAGTTGAGTATTTTATTATTTAAGAATTATTTACTTATTATTTTTTTGAAAGAGGACACCCCTATTTAAAATTCTCGGGTCCGCCACTATACCAATTTACTTGGGTTGGGTTGAGTTTTTAACAAATGGATTTAGGTTTGCACCCATGCTCAAATCCAAATTACAATTTGGTACCTAAACGTAATAGATATGCATATTTAGTACATAAAATTAATTTTTGTTTGCATATAAGTCCTCAAAATAACGATGAAAAATTACATTTTAGTACCTAATTTTTTTTGTCTTACATTTTGGTACTTAAATTTTTAATTTTTACAAATAGATCCATTTGGATTATGAAAGCAAAATACATACCTAACCCAAACCCATCTACAAACCTCCAACATATATACACCTCACCCATACCCTACCCATAATGAATAGGTCTACTTGGGTTTGGACAAAATTACCCATGTTTGTAATTGTTCCCTATGCATAATCAATCTTATTCAATTCAACAACTAATCTAGAACCCTAAAATGCCCTAATTGTTAGCATCTACAATGTACCAGGTAGCTTTGTGGGGAGAAAGAGAGGTGAAATGCGTCTCTGATGTGCGGTCCCTAAGATCCTGCAGGGAAGGAGAGTACTAGGACCTCCTCCGAAATATTAAATTAGATAGAGAAGTGTATTACATTGCGGTTCCTTAATCATCAACAATCATCTTTTCCCCCCCGCTTCTTCCTGTGATCAAATCCGCAATTCTGTGGGGGTATTAATAAGAAAAAGGTAGGGTACAACCAGCTAGCACTTTCTAAAGTACGACTGGTGGACACTAGCAATTAGCTAGCTGCTAAAGGGGTACCAACCAACCAATGGTCCTTACACATTTCTATTTCCCTTTCATGGATGGGATTGGGATTGGGATTGGGATGATCAAGCTGCTCCAGTAGGGCATGATTGTGAGAATCCAAAGCATTATAGCTTGTTGCTTAAAGGCAGGCCACAAAAGCATGCCCTTTGGCCAAAGGATATAACTCATTATTTGTTCTTTTTAGTTGTCATTGAATTGAAGATGGCTACCCTGCAGATCTAGTGGCAATAATAAGTACTGATAATATATGCTCAGCTGCCCAATAGGCAAAGAGAGGAGAAAGGAACATGGCTTGCAAGTAACCAAAGGCATGCCTTTAGATTCTTCAATGGTGGTTGGATACTTATTAGGAGGCTTGCATCGGAGTACTTACTACTTACGAGAGGTTTATGTAACTACGAGAATATGCTTGTCAACCATTGTAGTTTGGAGTGTTAGAGAGTGTTATGACCTGATATCAAAACTGGTTTGGCGAAGTGGTCGTGTGATCGAATCTCCATGACCCTGTCCCTCACTATTAACAGTTGATTAAAGCACAATTTATGGTGATCATTTGTGCAAAATTCAAGCCCATGGGTTGGTTTTTGTTTGATAATGCGTGATAGTGAGTGTTATAAGATCCAACATAACCTTCTCCCAACAAGTCGAGTTATTGGGACCAACTGGTTTATGACATGGAGGACCTTGCTGTAATTGTCATTAGTCTATAAAAGATGTACTAGTCAATTGTAATAGGGCATTGAGAAATAACAGAATCCAGTTCCCAACTCTCTTTCTCTTGTCTTCTTCTTCCTTTATTATCTGTGACTGTCTCGACTTTTTTTTTCTCCGATATTCTCCCTCTCTTCTCAAGTCTTCTCTATCGCTTCTCAATTTTCGTTAGCTATCTTTCAATCGTCGAAATCAATCCAAAATCAGCCAGAACGATGCAAACTACATTATAGTTGACTAGTACGGCTTCTACAACCTAATAACAATCATAGCAAGTTCCTCAAAACTACAATGGTTGACAAGCTGGTCCTAGTCTTTACAGTTTACCAGTGACCGATCATTTTTATTATAGTGGGTGATTATTTCACTCAAAAGTCCAAACCATATCGGTCAATAATTTTACCGTAGTGCTCATACTAGAGCTGGTGTACATACGTACAGTATACTCATTGCTATTTGAATTTGCATAGGTCAAGTTCTCTACACGATTTCTCCCGCCCACTGTCTATGTTTAATTTTCATTTAGTGTTTACTCCAATTAGTCTTATTTTTAGTATGCTAAATAAATCAACTCACGTGTTACATTCTTGGTCCTTGGATGTTTAATGTAAAAAAAAAAACCATACTCACGTGTTTGGTGAAGAAAATAGCTTTCGTGTGTCCTGACTCCTCCGTGTTGAATAAACTGAGGTGCCTATTGACTTCTTGGGCCCAGCCCAAATATTTCAACCCTGGACATTTAACGCCCGCTAAATATCTCAAGTCCAGCCTTGGCGAAACGGAGGGCAAAAGTTTGGGTTCGTCGCTGAGAGAAATATCTGACGGAGTTAGTCTGGCAGTTTAGAGACGTGGCGGTGATGGTGGTGGGAGTTAAAGTTACCGGTAAGGTAAGGCCGTTAGAAAAAGAGAGAGATAAAGAGGTGGTGGACTGACTGGTGGTTTCAAGTTAAGTGAGAGTGGGGTAACGTTTGACAGCCTGGCGACTACCAGAACAAAATAAAATTCCACTACTACCCCCGATTCTCTTTTCTTTTCGCCATACTTTTGTCGTCTACCGCGCAACCCTCCGTGCGTCCTTTTCTCCTCCTTCCCATCCCCAAGCCCAAAATAAATAAATAAAACAAAAAAGTATATTAACGTAAATGCTATCCAGGCTGTCTCGGTCAAAGGTAAATTTTTTTTTTTTTTACAGTTGCGGGGCTGAAGCGAGTGTGAACTGGAGGAGCCGTATTCTCGCAGAGTAACCGCTGCGGAAAAAAAAGAGAAGAGAATAATAATAATAATTATTAATGAAAAAAAAGCCCGTTACGGAATACATGTTTGTTTGTTTTTCTGGCTGATGCGTTTATACGTGTAACCCTTGAATGCGCGGAAAGTCGACGCGTGTTCATTTGACAGCTGTTTACTAGTAACTGCCTTTCCCCCGAAACGGCTACCACCGGTAACCCTAACCGGCTCCAACCGGTCATCCTTATCCCTACCCACTAACCATATAAATATCCTTCTCCCTTCCCCTCTCCCACACAGTCCAAAAAAAAAAAGGTGAGGCGCCGCCTCCACCACCGCCATCACAACCGCAACCGCCTCTTCCGGCGTCCTTTATCTGTAAATTCCTTCGTGTCTCGCTCCTTCTTCACTAGTCAATTCCTTTTTTCTGTACTCGAATCGATGGCGGCGAGAAGAGAAGCTGAGCGGATCAAGGGCCCATGGAGCCCCGAGGAAGACGAGTCCCTGCAGCGGCTGGTCCAGAGCTACGGCCCGAGGAACTGGTCACTCATCAGCAAATCGATCCCCGGAAGGTCGGGGAAATCGTGCCGGCTGCGGTGGTGCAACCAGCTTTCCCCCGAAGTTGAGCACCGGCCGTTCAGCCCCGAGGAGGACGACACCATCATCAAGGCCCACGCGCGGTTCGGCAACAAGTGGGCCACAATCGCCCGCCTCCTCAACGGCCGCACTGATAACGCGATCAAGAACCACTGGAACTCCACCCTCAAGAGGAAATCGTGCTCGATTTCGACCGACGATTCCATCTCCCCCGACGACGAGCAGCAGCCGCTCAAGAGATCGGCCAGCCTCGGCGCCGGCGGGACCACCAATTTCTCGGGTCTGTACTTGAACCCGAGCAGCCCCTCCGGATCCGAGCTCAGCGACTCCAATGCTTCTACCTCCCCTGTCTACCGCCCTCTCGCCAGAACGGCGTCGTTGATCCCTCCGTCTCTCTCAATGGATGTGTCTTCTTGGGATCCGCCCACATCGCTCTGCCTCTCTCTTCCCGGATCCGACCCGACCGAAACCCCGAACCAAGTTCCCGGATCCGGGTCAGGTCATGGAACTGGTAGCCCAACAACACACGGTCCGCAATCTCCCGTCCTCGCACTGCCGCCGCTCGCACCGGCTCCGCCTGTTGTGCAGCAGCAGGAGGTGGGTCCGGTTGTTGAAGGGAACGGGGAGATGGGTTATGAGAAGCAGTTCTTCAATCCGGAGTTTCTGGCGGTTATGCAGGAGATGGTGAGGAAGGAAGTGAGGAGTTACATGTCTGGTGTTGAGCAGAAGGGGATGTGTTTCCAGGCGGATGCCATAAGGAACGCTGTGGTTAAGCGAATGGGGATTAGCAGGATCGATTGAGGGTGGAAGAAGAAGAAGAAGCCATGGATGGAGCAATTGGACATTACTAGTGATTAAGATGCAGAGGTCGTCCTCATCAAATGGAGGATTGATTGGGGTTGGGAATGAGAGTAAACAATGAGTGGATGAAATTTGGAAGGAGATGAATTAGAAGATCGTCGTCGTTTTATTAATCGGTTGTTCTATACAGGAAGGGGAAGTAATAATTTTGGTAGTGTACAGTAGAGGTAAAAAGAAAAGGAAAAAAAATATTCGAAGGGGTTTTTTGTTCATTTGCTTGCTCTAGAGGAAGATGAATCTCTGGAATATGAGAGAAAGGTAGTAACAAAAATCCAACTGTTAATTATGATCTTGGGTAAAAGAAATGAAGTGAAAATGACAAAAGAAAAGGGGGAGAGACTCCAATTTGGTTGTCTTCTCTCGCTCAGTATTCCGCCTGTTCATTGTTCTCCATAAGCCAATTCAGATTGATACAGTGTCGAATTAGTATTACTTACTGAGTTATGGGCTTATTGCCCAAGCTGAAGTTTGGGAGAAGCCCAACTTTGGGCCCAGTAATCCTTTTCAGCCCACAAGAACCCCTTCTTTGGTTTTTGATTGTTAGTATTGATAGATTGATGGGGAAATGCGCTATTAAAAGGACATCTATAGCTTTGTTTGCGTTGAGAAGGCGGAATCGGGGAAAAGGGACAGAGAAAAGCAGTAGAACCACAAATGCAAGTGGGTGTGGGTTTAAAAAATCGAGACAATAGTGATGGATTTTGGAGGATATTAGCTTGTTCCCCTGGCCCTGGCTGTTGAAAGTGATTGTTATGGCATGTGACGGAATTTTTAAACAAGAGCGAAGGAATGCAAAGGTTTAATTGTGGTTCAACCTTTTTATACTCGTTAAAAACTGTTTATTAGTTTAGATTCCTACAGGAGATTTTCATTGTTGAATGGCCGGTTTTAACTTGAAGCCTTAGTAGTTGTGGGCCTGTGGATGCATCATCCCTATGAGACTATGACAAATTGTAGCTCCATTTTCGGCCTGGACCAGTTCAATTGTGGCTCAGAATCGGGCATATTACAGTCTCAAAGTAGGCCCAGCGATGCTAACCCCAATCCAGATGCAAAAGATAGTCAAACAAACATACTACTGAAGAATGAAGATCAACAACCACAGAAAGAAGCAAAGGCTGACGATAGAAATAGGGTATCTACATTATGCATCACAGATTTAGTGAGTTTTTTTTTAAGAACAATTTTCTTAATTTTTGAAGGTTACTGATCACAGATTTAGCTTGAATTTATTTTTTTACTGTTAATAAAAATTGTTAAACACCGATTTGGTTAGATTTATTCCAGGTCTATTTTTGACAAATTCCAAAAGGTAACATCCCAAATTCCAGGCATTACTTCGAAAAACCAATTTCATTGGATTTTAAATGCTAAATATCGTGCATTTGGCCTAAGACTATTCTTCATCATCGTTGAAGCCTATTAATTGCCGATTAGGGCAGATTTTTTAGAAGGGCATTTTTCGTAACTTTTAGGGCTATTTTTCGAAATGCGATTTTCCTTAGCTTTTTGAAGGCTACAGACCACTGATTCGGTCTAAGACTATTCTTTATCGATGATTAAGTTTATTAAGCACCAATTTGGACATATTTTTCTGGGGCCATTTTTTGGCACATTCCAAAGGGGCCTTCCAAGCCTTGGCGAGGCGATATTCCCATCCGCCGAACACTTCCCAGCTCGTTCCTTCTTTCCCACCAGCTGGCGGAGTCGCTGGCCCACGGCACGACGAGGTGAATGTGACATGGGAAACCCCCGAGGGCTTCTTCGCCGAAATCCTTGCTCCAGCCCATGCGTAGCCTCCGAGACGCGTCTTGCCTTCCGCTCAGCAGCTAAGTCCGCTCCTGGGAGATCAATAATGGCTTCGACGGCAGCACTCTCTAGGCGAGAAGCCTGACTATTTTTCATGGGGTGTTGCCGCGCTTTGCCAATGGATTTATTAATCCAAACCGTTTTAGGGGCTCCAGCATAATTGGGCGCCATGTACTCCTCATCATAAATCCGTCTTCCCATCTTTTTTGTTAACATGTGAGGGCCAAAACGCTCCTTCCGGGCTGGGGGATCGTAGCTACAATCACTACGCAGGTGGCCCACTCTCCCACAGTGGAAGCATAGGCTTGGGAGATGCTCATATTTGACACTAACCCAAAAGCAGCCAGTCTCATCATTCATTGCCATTATTTGAGAACGCAACGGTTTAGAGAAGTCCACTAGAGCTTTGACTTTCACAAAGAGCATGTTCATCTCCTGGCTCGAGAAAACCTCTGATTCCAGCACCCTACCAACGCTACCATTGACTATCTTCTGACCAAATTGCTTTGTGCAACATTCCTCTTTGATATCCCAGAGTTGGATAAGAAAGGGGATTATAGCAAGTTCGTCAAATGTGCGTTTGCTCACCGAGGAAGTCCAGGCACGCAGGTGCAGAATTTTATCCTGGACCACCCATGGTGTGCGCTTCAGGACCTATATTCGAGACTCCTCACTAGGAAGGACGAACTCGAACAGCCCATGCTTCCCGGTGTGCACTTTGATTCTTCCTTGTCCTTGCCAAGGCGTATTCAAGGCTTCACGTAGCTCCGTGGCTGTGAACGGGGCATCAGTAAAGAGGCCCCCTAGCAGCATGCGATTTTGTCTGAATTTCGTGGAGTTGACTTCCTCCAATGAAAACTCCACTATTTGGTACTCCTCCGTCACGTGCGCCATGGTAGTGATCTGCGAAGGAATAGAGTTAAAAGGGGCATGAGACGGATGCACAACAGGATCAGAAGTATCGCAGCATTCGAAAACGCTATCTCCCTCGCTCTGTTGTTAGCTGCCTACTCCTGGTCGGCGAACCGACTGGCATCCCATGCAGAGCCCTGGGTATCGGGCCAAAAGAGGAAAGTAAAGAGCAAGGCAAAATACCTGACTCGAGATGCCCGCTCGCAAGGGTGCTGCTTTGTTCCACCAGCGCCCACTGCTTGATACGCTTTAAACTCGTGAAAGAGGCGGAGCACAGCCCGGAGAATATATATAGGAAAGATGGAGCCGTTACGATACCTTTCGATAGTGCCAGCGACGCAATCCCACCCAATTTACTAGTGTTCCGATCAACAAGGGATATTCCGGTAGAACCCTCCTTGAAGACCGGCGACATTCGCGGATTGGGATCTTTGTCGGCAACCGAACTGGACCCTGGCCGAGGATTTGTTCGCCGGGTGGTTACATCTCCGGTGGTCCTTGCCAACATATCTACATCGACTGTCAGCACCTGAGCATAGTTCCAATCCCGGGGCAAGTACGATTGCGAAGGAGTGGACCTGTTACTGGATTGTGTTGTAAAGTAGTCTGGGATTGACATATGATACTTCCTGTTAATATTCACATTTATAATCAATCTATCCTTCAATTGTGGGTGATCGAATCATAGCATTTAATAGTTTAGTAGTGTGCCGTATATATATATGTTAAGATGATGACAGTTACACATCAACAAATAAAATCTCATACAATAATAATTAAAATAATAACTCACTTCCTACCATTTACCCGTATAACGCTGCCTAATGTCTCTCGTTTCTCCACCAAACCCAAAAGCAAAAATCCAAAACATAAAAATAAATAAATAACAACAGGAGAAAAAATTCCCCATTTTTTGCATGGCATTTGCCAGCTGCTTCATCATCAGTGTCCTTCGCCGGGGCTGGGACCGGAGAAAGTGACGCGGCTTATGCCTATCATCAGAGACGACCCTTTGACTCCTTCCTTCACATTATCCCGCCGGAGTGGCGCTGGTGGTGTCGTCGACGGTACCTCCGCCGCAGCAGCTTCCACGAGAGGGCGTGCTGCTTGTGCTGTGAATAAAGGCAGGAGAAGAATCAGCATCACGAAGAGGAAGCTGCACGTTGTGGACCTGAGACTCCTGGCCATGGGTTTGTCGTAGTGATGAGGAATATTGCGCACTATATTGAAATTATCTATCTTTCTCAAAGGAATGGGAACAGAGCGAAGTTGGTAGAAATTATGGGTTTTTGTTTGGAGGTTGAGATGAAGATGATTGATGGGAATGTGGAGGTTGGCCTGCGTGGTATTTATAGATCGATCGAGAGAGCAGAAAGAAGAATATTGTTGTTATTGGAAGAGAGCATGCAGGCGAAGGGGAGTTGGATTTGGATGGTTTGGCTGTAAATTGATTATGTTATTATATTACGACGCACGACTACGACAATATGAGTCCAGTTGGAGGAATGTAACGCTATAGTAAACTTGGATCTCTGTGTGTATTTGTTTACAGTCAAATGTCGGCCTAAATTCCTATAATATTGAATTGGTTCGAGTTTAATCATCTAAGAAAAGAGTAGTTAGCTCGAGATCAGGGAACTTGTGGACGGGATTGAATGATAATTGGGTAATTGCTATTTTTTTGGCTGTAATATTTTACGGTTTAGATCAAATTGACTTATGTCGTGTGGATCAATTTTTTTTTCTGTGGCAACTTTATATAGCTCCGCTTGATCAAATTGATCAAGGCCTTGAAAATACAACTGATCCATACTTACATGGTAACTACTATCACTACTCACCTCCAGCACAAGCACAATCCACTGGTAGGCAACATTAGGTCATTACATAGACTATACAAGTATACTTCCTCTCGAATATCTTGAACAAGCATCTGACTAGTCCGTTCTTTTGAATCAAAAATTCTGACATTTCGCTCCTTCCAAATCTTTCCCACTACCCAACACCAAACAGCTCCATGGATCAAATTAAAGGCTGAGGTAGATTATAGATTTTAAATTGGTAGTATAACCGATGTGGATCAATTTTGGTAATGATTGGGTGGTCGATTTAGTCTAATTGGCCTAAAACGGAAAAGTCCAAAAAACTGGGCGGAGGCACATAATTGAGAAGGTAAGCTTCTCGCCAAACTGCGAGCTAGTAAAATGCATGGTCCATGAAACCATATCGTACCGCCGGTTCAAGCACAAAATACTAGTATCGGAGGTTAAACCGATAGACGATATTTAACGATATTAACGGTTGAACTATGGTTAAACCACGGTTTTGCCATAAAATACCATACCACTAACTTTTCCGGTACGGTTTCATGGACATGGTAAAATGAACAAGTTGCGGGCAGAAATAAAGCTCCAGAAGACGTACACGTGGTGGAAGTGGAACGGGGGAGGGTTGAGGTGCAATTATATATAGTTGCCGTCGAAACGGTGTGAAAGGAACTAAACCGTTAGCCAATAAGATGAAGAGGGAATTCATGACCGTAGCTTATTTGAATACTCTTCACTTTTTTTTTTTGGAATAATATTTCGGGGAAAAATAGTTTAAAAATGAGTAATGTTAGTTGGTTCGGTTCCATTATAATCAATGCAGTCAAAATCGCGCTTTAAAACTTAAAAACTTACGATTTTACGCTTTTAGGTCACCAAAACGCTTTCGTTTCCATATAAAAACTTAAGTGTATAAAATCGGACTAAATTGCGCTTTAAAGCTTAAAAGCTAACGGTTTTATACTTCTAGTTCACCAAAATGCTTTACGTTTTTACGCTTTTAGTTCACTAAATGAGTATTCTTTTCATGAAATTAATTATAAAAAGTATATTTTAAAAGTAAATCACCAACAATATGATACATTTGAGATTAGAAGATATATATCAGGTACTTGGATGCATTTTTAACTTCAATAGAGTAATATAATTCACCAGCTAGGCTTTTCCCAAATTCATTAGCATAGAGGGAAAAGTGGCTTATTGTTAAAATTTATGTTTATGAACTTATTATTAAGATGCTATAAGTTGTTCTACTTTAGGCATGAATCGCATGTATTTATTAACTTATCTGTGTATTCATATTTTGCATAGCATATGTCCTACTTAATAGATTTTTAGTTATTTTTCAGTATGCGTCAAAAACTTACGCTTTATCGCTTTGATTCTACGCTTTACGATTTTATCCCTTTTCCGCATCTAGGTAGAATCGCGCTTTTGACTGCATTGATTATAATATAATCGATTAGTTAGTTACCGGTTAATTGTTAAGTAATTTTTCCTTACTTTAGCTATGTCGTCGATTCTACTTTTGGAATGTATAAAACTTACACACAAGGTTGTCGACACGCGGGTCACCCAATTTGACCCTAACCGAATGAGGAAAATGGGTCGCACGCACCCGCCGGATCGAGCGCTACAAGGTATCGGGTTGGAGGTTAAATTGTGTCATTTTTTTATTTGGTTTGCGAAATGCGCCTATTTTTCGATTTTTCTTTTCTCCTAACTCAATCTTTGGAATCCTAAGTTGAATATTTGAATATTGATGTTATATAAGTGTGTGTGAATTTTCACTATATGTTAAATTATCTAAGTACAACATGTTATTTTGGTGTAATATTATATGTTATAACTCATATGTTAGATGATATTTGATATAATTTATCAGAATAAGTACAATATAATGACTTTTTCCATATTTTTGGGCCAAATCGGGCTAAAACGGGTGACCCATTAACCCTTGACTCACTAGCTCGATTGGGTCCGGGTCAGCCCGCGGGTTGACAACCTTGCTTCCACACTAGTTCATACCAGGGGTTGTACCTGATGCATTGGTCTGATTCTCTCGGACTTTTTTTATGGAATAGCTTTTCATTTCCATATTATGTAACATCCCAAACTTTTTTCCGATCAAAATATTGTCCGCTTTGGGTTTCGATTCACGCGGTTTTTTCTTGAGATGCAATTCAATGTGATTTCCCATAAGGTCACTCATCCTTATTGTACTCCATTTTGTACATGGTTAACTTTGGAGTTCTAACGAGAACTCTTCCCTTTCATTCCAAAACGCATCTTATCCCTACATCCACCCTGCCCCGACCTTCGGTAGAGGCTCAACAAGATCTTTGTCTTCAACATCTTCTTTCATGTCCATGAACTAGCTAGAGTGTCAGGTACGTCCCATATACTACAATGCTGCAGCCTATACTTTCTGACATAGCTAGCCCATAAATAAATAAATAAATAAATAAATAAATAAATAAATAAATAAATAAATAAATAAGACTGTAAATGCAAATGGTAGCCGTATTGCGACATTTGTAGCCTTGATATATATCCTACAAACAAATTAGCCGCTGCAACTCGATCAGAAGAATTTTTTTCAAAGGAAACTCAGATAGTGTACTTACGGAAGGCATAAATATCCAATTAATTTTAATTGTAGGATGACCTAACTCACCCATTATTCATTACTTCATCTTTGTAATTATACATAATTTTCCAAATTTGATGCTTGCCGCCGGAGGTGATTGTTTCTTTTTATGAGGGCGATGGGGTGGGCACATTAAGCCAAAAAAAAAAAAAACAACAATTTAGTTAGACGCCCTTAATGACCTAATTTTAGGAGCATAATTAATCTGAACGTGTCTAGCTAAGTGGCCGGAGCACAGGGAGGACGGCTCTGGACTGGACTTTCAGTTTGACCGGACGGCCCCTTTCCTTTACGCGCATGCTCGTCGGTCTTTGCCGGGCTGTCGGCCGGATACATCTTCAGGTTACAAGTGTCGTCTCCCAAACCATGTCTATAGCCAGCCAGCATTTCCCTAAGTGGCATCAGACTTTGTTTTTTGTATTGTAACTGTCCAAGTGACGCTATCGTGTCGGATCACCAAAAAGGTTTTCGATGGGACGACTCGTGGGGCACAATACAATAACCCCATTCACAAGCCGGAAAGGATTTAACAATTATAATGTTATGGCCACATATTTTATAATTACATGAGCTATTTGGTTATGTGGGCTAATTGAAAGTGATCCAAATTAGGAGACCAAAGATGTCTTGCATTGATATGAGGCTAAATGGATGGAAACCCAATACTTGCCCACTTGGGTTTTATGGGAGCCCATGTGAAACTAGTATATAAGGAGTTTGAGGTTGTGGTCCCCAATAACCAAGACCATACATAGCTCCATCTTCTCTCCATCAGGAAGATGAGAGACAATCCCGTAAGAGGAACTGAAGAGGCTTGGTTGAGGAAGGTCACGAAACCTCCTGGATCGTGCTCTAGGAGTATCGTCCAGTTCAAGAACGTCGTTCATATTCCGCATCAAGTCTCTGACGATCAACCGACATAATTCCAGGTATTTCTACAAACCTTTGATAATCCGACGAGATGAATTTTCTAAGAAATTACATATGTGAAGTGTAATTCTAACAAATGGTATCAGAGTCATTCATCTCTGTTGGATTGTTGGGGTTTTCCAGATATAGACATCTTTATGTATGTGATTTTTGTGAAATTTCTGGTTGTGGATTCAATTGAGGATCAATATGCGCTTATTGTTCTTTCTCTCCTCGGTTCTACCTGAATTCGGATTAGTCACGTATTGTACTGGTAAAAAGTTGCATGAGTTTTCTTTTTAAATGCGCAATCTCTTAAAAGTTGCAATCTTGTCTACGTTCATGTTCATATGATATCTACACCTATTATAAAAGTTGGTAGCCAAAAACCCAAACACCATTTCAAATTTCCGACGCTCAGAGGGTTTTGCGGGAGGGTAAATTTGGCAGGCGGAAATTTTGGCTGAGAGTGAAAAAACGGGCTGCCTTGCCCTTTTCCTTCACTGGGATTACTTGATTTCCATGGCCCAAACGATTGGACAAAGCCGACTTTCCTCAACCCTTGCAGCGTTGCAGAGCACATTCAGAGATGTTAGAGAATCGAAAGAGAAGTGGGTGGACTGTGTTATTCTGAGTTCTCACGAGGAACTAAATTCCGGCGAAAATTTCTGACCTAGAAGCGAAATTCAAAGAGGTCTAGAGAGAGGAGATAACCCAAAAGGCTGGGTTTTTTATAACACGTTTCTCCTTCTCTTGAGGAACTGGATTTGCGCGTCCGCTCCTTCTGCTGGTTCGTTCTTGCGTGGTCTGCGCACCAAATTTCCAGAGATTTTTGTTTTATCAATGCTTCCTTAATCAGAGCCTGATGAAAACTGCTGCTGCATCTCTCCCTGCCGGCCGAATTTTCCACATCCCAGTTCGAGAGATTAATGAATCGCCCTGCCTCTGTAAGTTCTCTTCATTAGGTTACCCTCTTTCTAATTTGGCGATGGAGTCCCCTCTTTCTAATTTTCTGATGGTTGCCTTGAATGTTGGTGATTGTGTAGCCACCGCTCCAAGATAACAGCAGCAACACACTCGCTTGAGATGTATGTGTCCAATCTACCCCATGCACTTGGTAATTGGATACATTTATAGTAATTGATGTGTCTTGAACTTTTGACCATTAATAGTAATGGGAAGTTTGGTTCCAATCTACCCCAGGTTCAAATTTTTGGCCTAACACAAAACTACCTGAGGAAATTGATATGAATGTCTTATTGGCGAATCTGTTGTCTGAATATTTGATTTGGCTTGAACCCCTTTGTAGTATGATTGTAGTGTATGAAACCATCTGGTGGTTAGGCGTTGTTTTTTGGGAAGCTGCTGCATTTTGTTCTGTGTCCTGACTTCCATTTGGTTTTGCCCAACTGGGATCTCATTTTCTGTCCAGTTTCTAAAGGTTGTTGTGTGGACGTCTCGCATGCTATAACTGTTTCTGCCCTCTGTTAATATGACCATTATGGAATTTCATCATGGTGAGTCAAGTACTCAACCTTTACGCATACAGGCTTTTGCATCTCTTGAAGAAGGTATGTGTGAAATAGTAAGCAGTACTATTGCCAGTTAGAATGTTTTTAAATGGGGAGTGCTCAGTATATTGTCGTTGCTGAATTTGTAGGTGAACAGATGTGCCAGCCACCACGTTTTGCTGCCTCTGGCCAACCACAACAGAATAGACCATCTGCCCCTTGTGTGTTTGTGTATATTTAACTGTAGTTTAGTTGAATTTGGGAGCCTTATTATGCGCTTTCCTAATCTGGTTGTAATGCAGGGAAAGGGAGAGCCATATTTTATCATCCGGAAGACACTTATCAAAGGTTTGTCATGTCCGTAGAAGATCAAGAAGTTTATGACAAAGGTACATATGGTCATATCAAATTACTTTGTGAGGATACCTTGCTGTGATTTGTGCTTATAGTTTTAATTTGTATGTGGGTGTGTAGTAAACAAACGGTTGCACTACGAACTCATGGAAATTTGCAGAAAGTTGTCCCAAACTACTCGACGAAGAAGGCAACTTATTCTTTAAGATAAGAGACATAGGAGGCGATCTGTTGTTGAAGGTAGAGGTAGCCATTTGTAAAAGTGTTTATCTTTGTTTCTATGTAAAGATAGTTTGTACTTATTTATATGCTCACTACATTCGATTTGGTAATTTTCCAGGTTCTACGGGTGTTGAAATGGAGTTTGCAACGCTTTTGGGCAAACGTAGTAGACTAATGCGCCGCATTCACTTGCATAGAAAACGTTTGGGACGAACCTACTTTCAGACTCAAAGAAAGCTATGTATGTTGTATTTAGGAGGGGAGCTTTTTATAATTGATGTGATGGA